TTTTTTTTTTTTTTTTTTTTTTTTGAGGTTACTGAGAATCAAACTCAGGACCTTGCGCTTGCCAGACAGACACTTATGCTGCTGAGCTATCTCCCCAGCAATACCACTCTTCAAGATGCCTGTCTTGGAGGTAGGGCAGCTGTCAGGACTCTTGGTGAGGGAGGGTGTTCTCGGCAGATGAGGATCAAGCTGTGGGTTTGAGTCTGAGATAACAGTCCTTAAAGCACAAAATCAACCTTTACAGGGCTCCAGGCCCTGCTGGGAGGAGAAGAGACTGCTAGCCATACAACCTGAAGCTGTGGAAGCCCCACAGCCCCAGAGCTGCGTGCCTGCTCTGCTGGATCCTTTCTCATATGTAGTTAATATCATGACAGAGCTCTGTGTGCTATAGGCCTTATCAACTCCATTTCCTAGGTTCAGGATGCAGACCTGGCTTGATTTGGGTCCAAATATCTTTATCCCATTGTGCCACAGGACTTGCCATTCCTGAGGACACTTGGTCAGCAAAAGACTGTTCCCAGCCCCCTCTTACTAGCCTGAGGAGGGGGGAGCCTACTCCTGTGGCCTAGAGCTGAACCAGGGAGGCAAACATTGCAGTAAAAAACTATTGCTAGGGTCTGCAGCTGTGAATTATTCTTACCTGGTATAGTAATGAATCGAGCTACTCAGGTGTTTTCCAGGTACACAGGGCTTGCACCTGTACTGTGTAAAACTTACGCCAGGCCAGGGTCTCATACCTGTGCTCTCAGCTTCTCTGGAGACTTAAATCTAGAGGACTGTGAGTTTGAGTTCAGCCTGGGGTACTTAGTGCCTGCCTCAAAATAAAAAGGTCTGGAGATACAGCTCAGCAGTATGGCACTTGCATAGCGTGTGCGAGGCCTTGAGCTTAATCCCTAACACCACTATAAAACTTCAGAAAAGAGCTCCTTCAAGGAGGAAATCAGTCTATAATTTTACACTAATCTTCAGCAGATCTGAAATGTACAAAATTCTATAAACAGCTGAGGATAATTCATAGAAACTGCTAGCTTCTCTGAAGCAATGTCTTGAGAAGCTGTAACTGTGGGGGGTGCTGTGTGTCCTTATGTTAAATAACTTTAGACCAGTGAAAACAAACCTTTAGAGCGCTCAGTGTGAACAGCCCGCTGCGGCACATAGGCCATAGGTTTGCCACCGCTGCCTTAGACTACAATCTTAGACACTGTTTAAGTGCTTTTGGGGTTGGGGTGTTGGGGTTTTAGCTCAGTGTAGAGCACATGCTTAGTGCAAGGTTTTTCATCAGATCTTTACCATTAAAAAGGAGGAATGGTTGCTTCCCTTGTTACTAGACTAAAAAAATCACTTGCTGCTCGAAATGTGCCTCTGATCTATTACTACAGGAACACATATGGACACATTAAAATTGTGAATAAAATGAGCTGTATAATTGCCTCCCTAAACTGAGCTTTTGGCTTAGCCTGCCTGTTCCTCTTTTTCTAGAAGTTTGAGGTTGAGTTCATTAAGTTGTTTATTTGTGCTTGCTCTGTTTTATAAAATAAGTAGGCTGTGATTAAGCACTGAAGAATCTGATGAGCAAGTACGTGTGTGTGTGTGTGTGTGTGTGTGTGTGTTAACTACTAAGGAGTCCTTTCTGCTCTCACTATAGTCCACCTCCAGAAAATGTGAAGTACTAGTGTACATTATTCCCAGGATTACTATTTGCCTCTCCCACTGGAAAAGTCCAGTGAGGACAGCAAAATGGTTTTTTTTTTTTTTTTGGCTGGCTCAGGCTGCCTTAAGGGTGGGTCTGGTATGGCATGTGGAGCTGGGGATCGAACTGCGGTCCCCTGCTCCTGGCTGGGCTTACCCAAGCAGGTGTTAAAACAACTGAGCTACCTGGCAAGCCACCAAGACAGCAAAATGGACTGTTCCCCAAAGAAGACAATATGTAAGAAAAGTAGCACAGTGTAGAAATGAAAAACAAACTGGCCTTGGAAGGGTCTGGGTGGGAATTCTTTATTTTTTTTCCATGTATTTAGGATAGGGTCTACAGAGTCTCACTACGTAGATTGAACTCATGGCAATTCTGCTGTTCTCAGCCTCCCAAGCACTGGGATTACAGGTGTGACACCATACCCAGTCTCAATTGCTGTCTTAACACACCCCAGGGGCGGGGCTGGCACAGTATGGCACCCGGAGGATCAAACCCCGCAGCTGCGCTCTGCCTAAGCAGGTGCTTTAGTCCACTGAGCTATCTGGCCAGCCCATGGGTGGGAATTCTGGTGACCTCCACAGGATCACTTTAGGAACAGGGCATCCACCTACCTGAGCCTTACAGGCAGCCAAGGAAATAATGCAGAAAAAGGCCTCACACAACACCTGGCAAAGCAGGGTAAAGGGAAAAGGAGAAATCGGTGTGTGTTAGGTACTTGAGGGTGTCTAGGAGGAGGAAAGCAAGAGCGGCACCCCCAGCTGGATGTGGTGGCCCACACCTGTAATCCCACTACTCTGGGTGGCTGAGGCCAGAGGCTCACAAGTTTGAGCCAAGCCTGGGCAACTCAGCAATTTAGTAAGAACCTGACTCAAATTTTAAAAAGGGGCCTGGAAATCCAACTCAGTATGAAGGCTCTGGATTCAATCCCAAATACTGTGAACATGAAAAAAGGTGGGAATCTGAAGACAAAGGGAACTGGGCAGAAAAGGGGCAGTAAGGGGCTGCCTACCAGACATCTCACTGTAAGCCAGCCTCACTTCTCCCATTTCACCTGCTCTAACACTGGCTGTGTGGGCCTGGCAGACAGAGGTGAAGGTGTCCTCACAGAGGTTTGGACCTTCCAGGTCCTAAGTGGCAAACAAAGCAGCTTCCTTAGAGCCCCCACTTGCCTAGGGCCAGGTTTGAGTAATTGGTATTTTTGTGGCTCTTGGCCCAGGGGCAGGATGGAAGTGTGGCAGGGTGGTTGTCCCACTGCCCCTGCAGCTCTCAGCCTATTCTTTGTCTTTCAGATCAGCTTTTAGTCTTTGTGCCCGCACCCTCTTTTTAGCCACTAAGCACCCACTCTGGGGTGGGCTAGGATGAGGGTTGGAAGCAGAGACAAATGAGGCATAATTCTGGCTCCCTAGGTAAAAGGCTCTGCCCTCCCCAGGACGGTGCCTATTGGCACCCTTAGCTGCTTTACTCACTGAGCCCCCCACATCTTGCTCTGAACACCAATCTCTTCCACCACACTGACTTTGTTCTGTCCTACCTTAGCCAGACTCCGCAATGAGTGTGCTCCCAGAGGGAAGAGATACAAAGAAAAGGGAGGGGGGCCCGAAGGAGGGAATCCCGCTGACATCACTGCTCATTAGCATATGTGACCTCATCAGGGGGCGGGACATTTCCCCCAGGTGTCTAGGGGGGAGGGAGTGGAGGGGGTGATATTTAAAGGGAAAAGCTGACAGTGCTGCCGAGTGTGGGAGCGGGTGCTGTGAGCTGCTGGGCTGCACTCACACACGCACACAGATGCACACAGACCCCGACACCGACATGGACACGGACACAGAAACCACAGCACTTTGTCCCTCCGGCAGCCACCAGGTCTCCCCACCAGGGACACCCACACCAGGTGAGAGCTAACCTGAGCAGGTTCTGGCTGAAACCAGGAAAGTAAGAGCTGAAGCTTTGGTAGGAAGGTCAGAACGAGGGGTTCAGTCAGCAAAAGAGGAAAAGCCCGTCAGGAAGTAGAGAAGACCTGCTTCCTCGCACTGGGGCTGGGGCTGTGGTGGAGGGCAGAAGAGCTGCCCAAATGCTCCCTCCCCCATCACTCCCAGGGCTTTGCTTGGGAAACTGCTACGGAGCCCCTAGGTCAGCCTCATTCATAACAGGCTGGGATAGACAGAAGGGAAGCGGGGGAAGGAAGGGGTAGCCCACAAGCCCGGGAATCACAAGTGGGGGGCTACCCCAGGGACCTGTTGTAAGGGCTTTTTCTGGCTCCTTGGAGGCCCTGGCTGCTGGCCAAATATTGATCCTGGGCTATTTCCAGCCTCTCCCCCCCCCCTTTGTTGTGTCTGTTGTTCCTCCTCTGGTTACCCTGACCATGCATTGTCACCCTTCGCCTGGCTCTCTCTTTCTCTCTCTCTCTCTCTCTCTCTCTCTCTCTCTCTCTCTCTCTCTC